ATGACCCAGGCCGTTCACAGCCACTCTCGATTGTATTGTTCACATATACACTTAAAAATTCAATTAAAAACTGACTTTTTGCTGTAGAATTAGAGGTCAGTTACACTGTACAGAATGCTGGGCATTGTTGCGACTTATTTTTTTTTGTGGCTTTGAGGAAGTGAACCTTATGTACTCAGTTTAAATTATCTGTAAGCACTCATGGTTACCTAAATTAGGTGTATAGTGTGAGTTATTTTTATAAAAGACTATCACATCCTGTGATGTGAAATAGAAAGTGTCTATATTTGAACAAATGGACAGTTGTTCATTTAAAAACAATCTCATACTAAAGCAAAAGTTTAACACATTCCTGCCGGCTTGAACCACTGGTGGTACAAAGAGATCTAATTAGTCTTTAAGGAACGTGAGCTTGCATGTGCTATTTTGGAAATATTTAGAAACTGTGAAAACTTAAGTATTCATGATTTAAAGAAAATAAATATTAAAATATGTGGAATAAATAGCATCTAAGTGAAGTAATTTCTTTCTTTTACTTTGTCTTTTTGTGGTAATCATGAGTGTTGGATTCCTGAGCTTGAAGCAAGATAGCATTCCTGTGATTTATATTTTGTTTTCTATAAGGCTCATTTGAGTTTTTAATCTCAATCTTCTGGATGAAATTGTTTGATGTTTTACAAAAGCCATGCACTTGCCAGGCTTGAGGGCTTTGCTTGTTTGTAGGTGGAGAATCCTTCAGAGTCCCAGATCTTGAGCAACAGCTGACTACATGTATAAATAATTCCTGCGTGGACAGAGCCAGTGTTAGCTAAGTTGCTCTTTAGAATACATGAAAAGAAAAGTCCATGTGGAATAAGGTATGAGACGCTGAATCCCTACTGTGTGAAACGGACTCCTCTGTGTCCTTTCTGCGGGTCCCTCTGTCCATCTACAGTCTCGGTAGGTTCCTGGCCCCGACACTCTATGTTAATTAAAAGCACTGACAACAGAAATGCTGTCCTGCCCCTCCCTCTCCTCCTGCTCATCCTCTTCCTTCTCCTTGTCCTTCTTACACAGGAGATCTTAACCAGCCCACATTGTCCTCCACTATGTCACCAGTTCATGCTCACCTTGTCTCCTTCATACTGTCCCAAGCTGAATGCCCAGTCCTAGCCCAGGAAAACCGGATTTTCCTTTCAGAAGAACAATTTAATGTATGTGCGTGACATTCTCCTCCATGGCCCCTTCCCATTCTGCATATTTAAGAAGACCCTGGAGCCTTCTAAGGGGCAGTGATAGACCTTGGTGACAGTAAGGCATGGAAATAGCTACTCGGAGGATTGCAGAATCTTGTAAGACAGGACACTTAGTTAAGCCGTATTTATTAATAAAAAATTGTTTTGATGGTTTTCAGTTTCATAATGGCCATTTGAGATTACCTTAATCTGTAAATCTGTACATGAAATTTTGTATGGTACTCAGCAGAAAGGAACATGTCCTTTAACTTAACCAAATATTTGTATAATATTTTGTAAAAGGTCTGATGATGATTCATTGTGAAAAACTACAACTGATCAATTTAAGTCTTCAAAACTGAGGTACAGTTTTTATCTCAGTCTTTAAATGAGATTTAAATCATTACCATTTTGGATAAAAAATGGTATTTTGTGTTTTGATTCTGAGATATATGCTTATACTGTTACTCTAAATGTTTTACATTAAGTTATTTAATATTTCAAAATTTCTATAAAAGTACCATTTTTGTCGACCTGAGAAATTGAGGCATATGTAAATTAAATCTAGCAAGTGTCAGCACTACATTTTAACCCAGGCACTCTGCTTTCATTCTGTATTTTAACCACTTTGATGTAATACTGTACTTCAGTATAATAGAAACCAACTGTCAACAGATGTGAAACTACCAATTGCTGGACGCTGTCCTAGCCTCAGCGCTCAGCGGTGAGCAGGGTGAGCAGGAGCCTTGGCGCGCAGAAGCTTGCGGTCTAGGGGAGGCCTGCGGGCAGCTTAGCGCAGCTGTTGGTGTTCATGGCCTCCTCGCTGTGGGGAGCCTGAGAACCCCAGAGTGGGCTGCAGGGCGGGGCGGGGCCGGGGCCTTTGAAGCCACGCAGTCCCAGTTACACGCCCTTGTTCCGCTGGCAAGAACACAGCCTCTCACGACATCCCACTCCACTTGCTGCAACTCATGCCATAGTGCATGAAAATACTATTTGTTACTTACTTTAGGAGTTGCCTTATGCATAGAATACTAGGATTTTTTAAATGAGAGATACTTATTTGTCCATTTCATGTCATTTAGATTTTTTTTTTTTTTGAGCAATTCGAAATTCCGATGGTGAAACAAATTTTATTTTCATTGGTAAACATTTTCATATCTACACTAGGTGGCAGTAGATACAAGAGGGAAAATATCTGCAAGCAGGCTCGGCTCTCTGGACAGCTAGCCTAAGATTGGAAGGACAATAGGTCCCCTCAGGTTTTGGGGATTGTTTTGGGTTTTGGTTTTCGTTTTTTGCCTTAACTGCAGGCTCCGAGCAAACCAGAGGAGGCTGTGCTTGTTTTCTTCTTTGTGGAAGGAAGTAGAGGCGTTGGCTGGCTGGGCTGGCAGTCCCTTGTCACACTGCACAGATTTACCCTCCCTTACTGTCACACGCTGGTTACCCGCAGGTGCACCTCCACCTCTGCGCATCTGACTGGACAGTTACAAAGCTCTTAGCTGTTTCTAAAACTTCACCTCCACCCACTATGATGAGCGCTTTCCTCCGCCCTTCCCCTCGGCCCAGCCCACACCAGACCCTGGACGGCCGCCCAGAGCCCACTTTAGAGCACTGCGTTTCCTGCTTCCTATGAAGTCTGACTTGGCCAGCGTCTGTAACTGCCTCTGCTCTGCCCCTGTGCACAAGTGCTGTGGCGGCTCTCCCCTCTGCTGAGGAGGGCTCTCACCCCCATCTCTGGTTTTCTAAAAAAAAAAAAAATGTTTTTTTGAGGAGGCATATTCAGCCAAGTTTTGACCATAGGAAGCCTTTCTCGCTGTCTTAAGCAGTCAGCAGGCTCCTCTCTGAGGCTCATCAGTATTCTTATTGTTGGTACGTTCATTTGATACAAAGTCCCACTATTTCTTTTTTGTGTTTTTTGGTACCAGGGATCGAACTTGGGACCTTGCACTTGCAAGCCAGCCGCTGGAACCACTGAGCTAAATCCCTGGTCCAGTCCCGCTATTTCTTTGCCTTTTGTTTACTTCTTGGTTTTTTTCTGGGTTTTTTTTTTTTTTGTGGTACCAGGGATCGAACTCGGGTCCTTGCGCTTGCGCAGCAGGCAGCAAAACCACTGAGCTAAATTCCCGGCCCTACTTCTTGTATTTTTGATGTTTGAATGTTGCTTTTTATGTTTTGAGTCTCTGAATTTTGAAATCACCTCTTTCAGAGGTAGTCATCATTCTAGGTAATTGTTCCTTTGCTTTTCTATCTTTGAATCAGTGGTTTTGAACTTCATATCAGATATATTTTTCTGTAACTTCTTTTTTTATTTAACACTGAAATCTTGACATTTTTGTATATGAATTCTGAATTTATACACTCATGTTGCAGAGTTGCGTTTCATTCATTTTCGCTGCTGCATAGTATTCAAATGAATTTACCACAGTTGTGGTTCCTATAATCCATTTTATTATTAATAGACATTTGAGTATTTCTAGTTTGGGGTGGAAGGGTTGACTGTTAGAAATGATTTATAAGCAATTTGGCATTGTTGAACTTTCTTGTTTTTGCAGTCTGATAGGTTTTAAATGGTATTTTTCTTTAATTTTTACTTTTTTCATTATTAATATTTCTGAGCATCTCTTCATATACTGATTAACTGATAGGTTTTCACTTATATAATATTTTTCCTTAGGGCTGCTTTTCTTTTTACATTTGTTTGAAGACCTTTGTTGTATATTTGAGATATTTGACCTCTTTACCTTTTACAGATCATAACATCTCTTCCTGTTCCATGTCTGATTATTCATTTTGTGGTATCCATTATTAAGGAGAAATCCTGAACTTTTCTGTAACCAAATACATCTTTTTTTTTTAATGGTTTTGCTCTTGCAGTTTTGTCTTTCTCAGCCTCTGGTTATGAAGATACTCTTATGCATTTACTTTAATTTACTTTACGGTTTTAGCATCACATTTAGTTTTCTAATTTAGCCAGTGCTTGCCTTTTATGTAGCATTAGGCAGGGATCCCTGTAGTGACCTCAAGTACAAATCAGCCTTCCCTTATTAATTTGTGTCCTGCTGGTCTTTGCTGCACGTGTTTTCCATTTGTACAGTGATCTGTGCTCGTGCTGATACGGCTTTCTGTTACTGGAGCTTTCTTCACTGTTAACACAAGTTTTGTGCTTTTTTCCCCCATGAGGTCTTACAGATCTTTGTATGTTTGTTCTGTTTTATAACTTTTATGGTATCGTAAACAATGTCGTTTTAAAATTTACATTTTCTAACTATGGTGGGATGCAGAAATACAGTTGATTTTGAGTGGAGATTTGAGGTCTAGCAAATTTTGTTAAATGTTCTCACAAGTTCCAGTGATTTAGCAATATATATTTTGGGGATTTCTCCATGAGTAAACATTTTATATATAAATGGCATTTTATTTTCTCTTTTCTAGTTCTTTCATCTTAACACTTATTTCCTTTTTTGTCTTAATAAACTGGCTAGGATTTTTTTCTGCATCTTTTGAGGTGGGTCATTTTATTTTATGTTAAATGTTTCTTTATAGGTAAATTACGTTGATTTTTCTAATGTAAAAATAATCTTTCATTCTTGAAATAAATTCAACTTTGTCATAATCTTTCCTTATACAATGATAATTTGGTAGGTTAATATTTTGTTTTTATCTATGTTAATAACTATAGCAATGTATTTTAATTTTAGGATACATTAGGATTAGATTTTCGTAAATATCACTTAATTTCTTATGGTATAAAAATGTCATATTAACTTTTTTTATGTATACACACAGATTAATCCAAAGCTCGAGGTAATTGATTTGCAGATTTCTTCTCCTCCTGTTGTGGACATCTTTTCTTTTGATTCTACCACAGTAAGTTTTTTTTTTTTTAACATTCGGGTGGTATTTAATTATTTGGCACAATCTATTTCCTTAAAAAGTGTGTGAGGAAGAGGAGGAAATGTGCGCTAAACTAGTACTTTAAGATAGAAAGACCTTGTACAGCCAAAGTTGTAATACATCTAAACAACCACAAGGTGGAGCAGCGCCAATTTCTAAAACAGCTCTAACTTTGTGCGGGAGGGAGCTCAGGCTAATCTGGACCCGCTGCCTGATCTAAGCGCCACCCACGTGACACTGCGCGTGCTGCCTCAGGACGCGCTGCTCCCTGCTTTCCGTCTTTCAGAGATGTCAACTTCCAGACTTCTGCTTGGAAGCTATAGGAGTAGCAATCATCTGTCTCCCTTTGTTAATCTCTTGGTGGGTTGTCCAGAGATTAAGAAGTATTTCTAATGCTTATAATTTTGTTTATAAAACTTGGTGTTCAAAGGCTTCAAAGGTTGAAAGTTTTAGCCTTCAGTTTAGAAGTTGACTTAATCTTTTCAAGTTCTTGCCATAGCCAGTTATGCTGCTGAGTCCAGAACTAGTTGTAAGAACAAATGGGAAGAACAGTGTGGCCTTTAATGTCACTGCTGTCCTGCTGTCATTTTAGTTAAATATTTTGGGTAAGTTTTTAATCACATTACAAACTCTCTGTTGATCTCAAGAACAGTATTTACTGTAGAATTCTGTGAAGGACTAATCCATTGTGAGTCTGTTATACTGGAAACTACTCCAGTTGTTAAGGGTCCTTTCAGAGTTAATCCTACATCAGAGAAGCCTCCTTCGTCTCAGGAGATGTTTCAGTAGCAAAAACAAAATGCCAGATGTGGACCATTTCCAGCGCCACATGAATGTAGTCTCAGCACTGGGGAGGCTGAGGCGAGGGGGTCCCAAGTGCAAGCCCAGCCTGGGCAGCTTAGTGACTTAGTGAGACCCTGTCTCAAAATTTTAAAAAAAGGTAGCCAAGAGGCTCATCCTCAGAGGAAGTCTGGGACTCTCATGACAGCGCTCAGGCTGCTCTGTGGTCTCCTTACCAGCATCTCTGCAGCACTGCTGCACACAATGAAAAGCTGAAGCATAGCGTGATGGCACACACATGCAACCTTAGCACTGTAGGAGTGCGAGGCAGGAGAATTTTCACGTTGGAGCCCAGGCTGGGCAATTTAGCAATGAGACTCTCTCAAAAATTGCAAATAAATAAGTAGATAGATAGGCTGGGGGTGTAGCTCAGTGTGAAGGTCCTGAGTTGAAGCCCTAGGACTTCAGAATTGATTAGATATCTAAAACTGGCCACAGTGCTTGGCTTAGAAGTAGGTGTGCAATGCATATGTTCAGCGAATGACTCAAAATGCAGCCGCTGAAGTTTACAAATCCCACTGAGTTGGGGGTTTTGCCTAGTAGAGAAAGGAAGCAAAAGACTGGCGATTGATGAGATGTCACATGTCGTGAGGTAATCAGTAGACTACACTGGAGTGTTTCCTGATTTTTGAGTAATTCCTGACAGAGCATCTCTAAAGGGCTTTTGTTCTACCTTTTGAGACCTGTTCTGCCTTTTAATACTAACCCTCTGCCAGTCTTCGAGATCGGAAGAATTTGCACATTCTTGACAGAGAGTGCTAAGGAGGTGAGCATAGCTGCCACCTAGCAAGGCACCAGGGTGTCTCGTTTTTGACTGTAATCCACATGTGCCAACATCAGCTAGTCTGTGTTTTAGGATTTTAACTTAAGGAATATGGTTATGTGAGAATTCAAGGTGACAATTCTGTGTGGTAAACATGCAACAAGTTTAGCAGTTGTGTTAGAAATCAGAATAATAAGATTGAGAAATACAGTTATTCACAGAAGGGATAATATTAGGTTGAATTATATGAAATTGTCATTTTCTAACAAAAACAAACCTAATGTCAGTGACTTCATGTGGTTCCACTAGATAACTTTAAAGGAAAGACTCTACTGTCAGTTTTGAGTTGTGTACTTGCCACTGTATAAAAATAAAGCAAGCAAACAAGAAACAGGAAACTGAAGTCTTGTTTACTCTAAGTAGGTTTGGGATTAGGCTAATGAAGTCCCATCCAGATAGATTCTTTTATAATCAGAGTGATCACCACTTGCCTCCAGCATGGTTTTTACCAGTGCATTCTGAAGACGCAGATGCTAGATGCTAGTAAAGTCCTTTGAGTTTCATAGAGCATCTCTAAAGGGCTTTTCAAGGTTTTCATTGTATGTATCTTTCCTTTAGATCCAAGAGAGATCATTGATTAGAAAGCTTGTGAGATTAATTTTTTAACCGTTTGCTTTTCCATCAATGAAGTAATTTTTAATCTGTGGTCTCTACATTGACTGTTTTTCTTCTGCTTCAGGCCCTCAAATCAGACATGACTATAAAAGAGATTTGTTTCAGCTTTGGCTTGAAGCACAGTTGCACTAAATATTTTTATTGTGAACTTTGTCTGTGATTTTAATTAAAAAACCCAGAGAAATTTTGGAAACAGCAACAACAAAGAGCAGTTTTAATGATAGTTTTTGTTAATAGGGTTTCTATTTCTTTTGGGAGTTTCTTTGGCTTTTACAGATGGGAAAAACTGTACCTTAGAAGCTCATTCATCAAGGTGAGACATAAAAGATTACCTTTCAAACCCTAATTTGTCAAATATTTCAGAATAATAAAAGCAGGTTTTATATCATGCAAGAAATAGTTGGCTTCTCTTTCTTTTCTCATTTGAATTGTATTCAGGATGATTTTGAGACCTAAGTTTACTGTATCTTATCTATGCTCTGATGTCTTAACAACCTGCCTTTTTAAAGCTTAATTTAAAAACTTTCTGTAAGAAGATATATTGGCTATCATATAGACATAGTTTAAAAATATTGATCTTCTCAAGTCCCGGAAACCTTATTTTGATTAAGTCACTTATTACATACTGTACTAATTTTCTAAAAATTATCGACTTCAAGATTCCATTTGAGCCTTTGAGTGTTTTCATTAATTTAGTTGGAATCAGACCAGGGTTCTGTCACTAGGGCAGGCTAGGGGTGTAGATCAGTGGTAGAGTGAGTCTCTGGGTTCAGTCCCTATCACCCCCCTAGAAACAAAACACTTCACATTAGCATTGATGTGTAGTGTGGCTACAAGGGGTGTACCTAACCCCTTCCCCACCCCATCCTCAAAGGGATATGTATATATGATATATAGAGAGAGATAGATGATAAGGGATATATAGATAACATATAAGGGATATATGTGTGTGTGAATATTTATATGTGTACATATAAGTTTTATGCTTTAACTTGCTTTAATCAAAAGTAATTTTAAAAATACTCTAGGACTGTTAAACTTTACCTTTAGATAAATTATATTCTTAGGTTTTGATGTATTTGATTCATTATTGTTTTCCTACAACTGAACAAAATGCAGTTGGTAATCCTGCTGCTGTTCGTCTGATGCTCCAAACACAGAATCCTTCTCAGAGAGGTGACACAATGTCCTCATCTTTATGCCGGCAACTGTGTAGAGTATGAATGTGTGTCGCTTTCTTTAAATAAGGTGCAGTAGTTCAGGTCAAATTATTTTTTTTACAATAAACTGTGAACTCATAATTACATTATAGGAAAAAAATCTAAGGATAAGGGAGTCTTTTGTTACTCCAGCCATGAAAATAAAGACTTGCGCATGAAGCTATTCTGTGAGCTGCTGAAGGGGTGTCTAGGTGGTGGCCTAACCTCCAGAAACACGTGCCCTAGGCTGGCAAAAACCCACGTAAGAAACAAGTATGAATTGCAAGGCACTTTTGCCAAGTGTACAGGACTACAGTGAAAGGTTGTTAATGAGAACATTCAAAACAGATCATTAATGAGCTATACGAAATTTTAAAACTTCTCTAGAAGAACATCTGATCAGTACTCGGGCTGACAGAAATGGGTGTGATTTTGATAAGATCATTCCAGAGAGGAAAAGCAGAGTATAAGTAGATACCTCTGAAGAAACTGAAAATGTATACCATGATAATACAAGTGCATTGGTCTAGTTCCCATGGGGTCTTTACATTGCATAACTCAACAAATGGCAGATGGGGTAGAAGTGAGGGGTACACACACATATACATATGTGTCTCCCAATAAATGTTTATTAAATAACTAGTCTGCCAGTCACAATCATAGCTTGGAAAAAATGAACAAAACAATAACATTTGTCCCTGAGAAACTTGCATTCCGAAACATTCTAGTCAGGGAAACAGGCAATTCACAGATTAAAAAAACTTTATAGTGAAGTAAAAAAACACAAAAGTGAAAAAAGCACTGAAGATTGATGGAAAAAGGATAGGAAGGGCCAGGGATTTAGCTCAGTGGTTCTGCCACCTGCCTTGAAAGAGCAAGGTCCCGAGTTCGATCCCTGGTACCAAAAAAAAAAAAAACAACAGGATAGGAAGAGGCTGCAGTTTTAGATAGTGTGGTGGAACCAGGGTCATGTGACAGGTGACATTTGAATAAAGAACTGGAGGGGTGAAGGGAGCAAGTCAAGTGGCCATCTGGGACGGGCACCCCAGGAGAGCAGGAGCAGAGAGGAGCCACCAGAGGGTTTTCTGTGGAGGAGGGATATGATTTGACTTAGGCCTTAAGAGGCTCACTACACTTCAGTGTGAAACAGGCTGGGGCGGGGCAGAGGGCCTAATTAGGTCCCTAATGAAATAATCTGCATTAAGGCCATAGTGCTTGACCCAGGGCGAGGTGGGGGAGGAGGCGGGGAAATGAGCCGTTGTGGATATATTTTGAAGGCCGAGTCCAGAGGATTTCCTGACAGGTTGGATGTCAGCTGTGGGATTCCCTATCTCCTTTCCCTGGGGACAGTAAGGTGTAGCCCTGAGTAATCTCAGGGCAGCTGAGAATATCTCCTGGCTCTGCCTGGTTTTGGCAGAGGAACTGCTGAAAGAAAAAGAATCACGGTTTTCCTGTCGTCGGTTGTAGGATCAGGAAAAGCGATGATCAGCTAAATC